AGGGGCCTGAGAGGGGGCTGAGAGCCGGACCCCCCAGCTGGGGCACCATGGGGGAAAGGTAGGGATCCAGCCCACTGAAATAGGAACTTGGAGATGCGTAAGCCGAGGGGGAAGAACAGAAAGCCGAAGCAGGAGCATAGGTCATGGCATAGGGGGCTGAGGTGAGAGAGGGCCCTGAGGCCACTAGCCCAGCTCGCTGGGCCTCAGGCAGAGGAGACTCCGAGGCGGGACTCCAAATGGACACAGTGGCCACTGCCGTGGTAGGTGAGCCTGAGGGGCCAGGCAGAGAAGGGCTGTAGGAATCTGAGATGCCCAAAGGGTCTGTACAAACATCTGTGGAGGGTTGTGGCGATGTACCCGCCTTCCTCTTAGCAGGACGAGCCTTGGCCTGTCCCCCCGGGGGCTGCTGCTGCTGCTGCTTCTGCTGCTGTCGCTGCTGTCTGCATTTCGCTCTGCGGTTCTTGAACCAGACCTCGAGAGAGAGAGGGAGGACGAGAGTGAATAAAATGTGAAAAGACCCCAGAGTCCTCAGGTGCCAAGGGAAGAAAGACAAGGCTGGCGGAAACAGTCACGCTTCGTCACTCCGTGTCCAACAATGAGGCAGCTCTGCCACGATCTGTGTACCCATCCAATCAGCATGGACCCATGCACACAGCAACCTACATGCACTGATCACACATGCCTCATGCATGCAGGCAACCGTACGCATGTGCATGTATCAGTCTGCAGGCATCATCTACCCACTTGATCACACATGCATGCATGCAATCATGCATTATCCTCACATTATATGCATGCAGTCATACACATACCCACATACACACCTACATGTACTCAGCCACTTACCTGATCACAGGAAGATGTACGCAGTCATGTATTATCCTCACCTATATACATACAATCATGCACATACGCACACATTGTATTAACATGCTCTTGCTCATGAATATGTACATGCGTTATACTCCCATATCATACATGCACATATCATGTTTGCATATACTCATCAGCCCATCCCATAGTATATACATGCATGTAGTTTTATCCATAGATACAGTAATACCAGGGTTAGGGATGTAGCTCTGTGGTAGAGCATTTGCCTGGCACGCACAGGCTCTGGGTTCAATCTCCCACACTGCAGAACACACACACACACACACACACACACACACACACACACACAAAACTGACTTCTCTCACCCACTAATCCTCTCAGTCACCTACTCTACTGCTTAAAGGAGTCAGTCATATTCTTCTACTGTGAGGAATATTAATGTTACAGTAAGTGAGTAAACCATACAATTCAGGGGAGGCTCACTATGCAGCCCAGACCGGCACTCCTCCTGCCTCTGCCCCCTCCATGCTGAGACTGCAGGGATGAGCCACCAGCATGCTTAGCGCAGTATTCTAGAGCTGGTAGTATGCGGAAGATGCTGTTAAAGAGGGAAGCAGCAGCACTGGGGTTTCAGGTTGGAATTAAAAGTGCTATGATCCAAAAAAAAAAAAAAAAAAAAAAAAAAAAAAAAAAAAAAGTGCTATGATCCACGTGGTTGACCTTGGTTCCTATGGTGACTTGATTGATCCACCGGTGGGTAAATAAGCATGGCGACGAGACAAGTCCCATGAAGCTAAGCTGAACGAGACAGGCCTGGTGCAACCCTGCTCTACGGGAGGCTGACTCAAGAAGATCTGAAGCTAGAGGTCTGCGGGGCTGCAGAGTGAGTTCAAGGTCAGCCTGGGTAACTTGTGAAACTGTCTCACAATGCCAATGCTGCAATGGGTGGCCCCACACCCATGAGTATATGGGCAGCACAAACCAATCCGGTGGGTTATAAAGAGGAGGAGGATGGAGAGGAGGAGGAGAAAAAAAAAGACATGAATGAAGTTGAGCAGGAAATGGAGGTGGGAGTCCTGGAGGGGGAAGAGGGGGTGGATATGATCTCAATACATTGTATCCATGTGTGAAATTACCAAATAAGTTTTTATTACTTACTTAACTTTTTGAAATTATAATTACATCATTTCCACGTCCTTCTTCCAAATCAAAGAATAACTAAAAAATAATAAGATAACAAAACAGGCTAGAGAAATGGCTCAGTGGTTAAGAGCCCACATTGCTCTTGCAGAGGACCTGGGTTTAGTTCCCAGCACCCACATTGCAGGCCACGGCAGTGGCCACTGTGCCCATTTGGAGTCCAGCCTTGGAGTCTCCTCTGCCTGAAGCTATCGAGCTGGGCTAGTGGCCTCAGGGCCCTGTAACTCCCTGTAACTCCAGCTCTAGGGGATCTGATGACTCTTCTGGCCTCCCCAGGTGCTGCACACATGCACACATACATAACATGCACACATGCACGCACGCACGCACGCATTCATGCGAGTAGAATTAAAAATAAATCTCTAGCCTGGTACAGTGGCACAACACCTTTAATCTCAGCACTTGGGAATCAGAGGCAGGTGGATTGATGGTGAGTTCAAAGCCAGCCTGCTCTACATAGTAAGACCTTGTCTCAAAAATAGCTTTAGCCGGGAGGTGGTAGGGCACGCCTTTAGTCCCAGCACCCAGGAGGCAGAGGCAGGCAGATCTCTGAGTTCGAGGCCAGCCTGGTCTACAGAGTGAGTTCCAGGATGGCCAGGACTACACAGAGAAACCTTGTCTTGAACAAAGAAGGAAGAGGAGGACCTTGGAGGAGGAGGAGGAGGAGGAGGAGGAGGAGGAGGAGGAGGAGGAGGAGGAGGAGGAGGAGGAGTTAAGTGACATAGGGAAGTGAGGGGCGATCAGGCTACTGCTTCATAATTGTGGCTATTTCCCCGTGACCTGTCTTTCCTCCACTCTGGATCTGATAACGACACACAGAAGATCACAGTAAGGGTCAGGAGGGCTCCAAGGAGCAGAACATCCTACCTGGACCCTGGACTCAGGCAGGTTGATCTTGAGAGCCACCTCCTCGCGTGCATACACATCCGGGTACTGGGTTTTGGAGAACAGGGCCTCCAGCTCCTCCAGCTGGCTCCTCGTGAACGTGGTTCGCTCCCGCCGCTGCTTCCTGGGGGCGCCTGGATATAAACGATGAAAGAACCTTCAGGTTAGCTGGGTCTGCCGGCTGGAGGCGCTGAGGTCCAGTGGCACGCCTGCCCAGAAGTCCTTTCTGTACATTCGCCTGCCTTAATAAGGGACTGTATTTATTCTCTGGCCTTGTAGCACGGCCTCAGTTCCCAGAGGAACTGGAGATGCCTTCCAGTCACGTGTCCACTGGAGGGACCTGCTTTTAGCCCTGCAAGGATTTGCCCCTGGTTTTGTGTTTTGTTCTCATTTCTCTCCTCCCTCCTTCTCCTCTCTCTCTCTCTCTCTCTCTCTCTCTCTCTCTCTCTCTCTCTCTCTCTCTCTCTCTCTCTCTCTCTCTCCTTCCCTCCCTCCCTCCCTCCCTCTCACCCTCTCTCTCCCCTATCTCTCTCACACACACACCCCACCCACCCACACCCCCCACACTCAACCTTCCTATTTCTTCTCCCCTTCTCTTGCATTACAGCAGGGTTTCACTATGTAGCCCAGGCTGGCCCTGAAATCCTTGATCCTCCTACCTCAGTCTCCCAAATAGCTGGGATTACAGGCAGGAGCCACTGCATCGGACTCCCCTACTGAACCTTTTCATGCACAAAGACATATTCAGTTGAAGTATGATGCTGCTAACAACCAAGCACTTCGGCCCATAAAAGTGATGTCTCTACGGTTCAACTTAAGGTAAAAGAAAAAAAAGAAAGTGGGCTGGCAAGATGGCGCAGAACGTAAAGGCAATTGTGGACAAGCCTGAAGACCTGAGTTCAGTCCCTGGGACCCACACCGTAGAAGGGAAAAAAAAAAAAAAAAAAAAAAAAAAAAACTCCCAAAAGTCATTCTGAATTTATAAAGAAGATGTAGATCACTATGATCTACATAGTGAGTTTCAGGCCAGCCATGGCTACATAGTGAAAACCTGTCTCAAAAAAAGAAAGAAAGGAAGGAAGGAAGAAAAGAAGGAAGACAGACAGAAAGAGAGAGAGAAAATAAAAAGAAGAAAACTGTTAAATAATAGGTATGATAGTAGAGCATGATGGTTCAGGACTACAATCCCATCCCTCTAGAGACTGAACCAGGAGACTGGAGGTGTGGCTCAGTGGTAGAGCCCCTGCCTAGAATCCCCCAGTGAGGGGCTGGGGGTGTGGCTCAGTGGTAGAGCCCCTGCCTAGAATCCCCCAGTGAGGGGCTGGGGGTGTGACTCAGTGGTAGAAGCTTCTGCCTAGAATCCCTCCCACACCCCACCCCCACCTCCCTGTGAGGGTGGTGCATGGCTCCATGGTAAAGTACCTGCCTGCATTCCACAAGGCTCTGGATTCCAGCCCAACAACCTCTAATCCAAAAAGAGAAAAATAAAGAAACAGCGAGAAAGAAAAGGTGGTACCATGGACATTGGAATGCTAACTTGTTTTAGAAATAAAGCTTTACAGACAGATGGAAATCCCTACTGAATCTGTTTCCAGACCACTGCCCTTCCAATGCCATGACTATATACTCTCCTGAATCCCTGGGGGACGTGTAAAAGTCCCTTGGATGCCAGGCAGTATTGGTGCATGCCTTTAATCCCAGCACATGGGAGGCAAAGACAGGTGGATCTCTGTGAGTTCGAGGCCAGCCTGGTCTACAGAGTCAGTTTCAGATCAGGCTCCTAAGCTACACAGAGAAACCCTGTCTCGAAAGAGAAGAAAAAAAAGAAGTCCCTTGGATGCCAATTTCCTTTGCAGATGAACATAGGGCTGGTACATGACGCTACTGCCTCCTCCACCCCACATGTGCTTTTCTCCTGAGGGCAGGGAACCTCAGATCTTGCTAAAAGACAAGATGGGGATAGGAAGGAGGAACACACTTACTTGAGTACGGGACAGCCTGATGCATCAGGTCCACACTGGGGCCACTCAGAGCCAAGGCATTGACCGAATAGTGAGGCCCCGGGTTCATATACGCCATCATGATCTTCAGTGACTGGGGCCCAGATGAGGGCACCTGTAAGAGAAGAGGTTTTCCAACAGTCCACCCTGCACACCACCTGGGCACTGACAAGCTGATACTCATATCCTGCTTCTGGGGTTCTTCTTCAGGAACCAGTTTTGTCCATTAACCTATCTCTATCTATCTATCTATCTATCTATCTATCTATCTATCTATCTATCTATCTATTATCTATCTCTATCTCTAGCTAACTAGCTAGCTTTTGTTTTCAGAATCCAAGTGACGTGGTACATTCATTTAATTCATTAAACACTCACATTGGAGAGACATTAAACACTCACAATCTCTGTGAGTTCAAGGCTAGCCTGGTCTACATAATGTGTTTCGGGGCCTCACAATATAGCTTTAGCTGACCTGGAACTCAATTTATTTGTCTGTTTTGTTTTATTTGTTTTGTTTTGTTTTTCAAGATAGGGTTTCTCTGTAGTCTTGGCTGTCACTCGGTAGACCAGGCTGGCCTCAAACTCAGATCCACCTGCCCCTGCCTCCTGAGTGCTGGGACTAAAGGCGTGTACCACCACCACCCAGCTCTGTAGACCAGGCCAAAATACCCAACTCAAAAAAAAAAAATAGTTTTTTGTTTTGGTTTGGTTTGGTTTTTTTTTTTTGGTTTTATGCAACAGGGTCTCGTGTAGCCCAGGCTGACACTAAACTAATCAAAACTGATATGGTATTTCTAACACTCCTGTCTCTACCTCAAAAGTGCTGGGACCACAGACATTAGCCAACACTCCAAGTGTGGGGTGAATGTAATGTGTGTGTGTGTGTGTGTGTGTGTGTGTGTGTGTGTGTGTGTGTGTGTGTGTATAGAGGTGGAGGGGAGGCCAAAATTCAACCCCAAGATTGTTCATCAGACCACCTCATATTTTCATTCCATTTCATTTTATTTTATTTTTGAAAGAAGGTCTTATATAGCTCAGATTGGCCTCAAATTTACTAAGTGGCTGAGAATGACCTTGAACTCCTGATCTTCTTATCTCCACCTCCAAGGTGCTAAAATCACAGGTCATCATCGCCACACCTGGATTATCTGGTGCTGGGCAGGTCTTCATGCATGCTAGACATGCACTCTAACTAATGAGCTACATCCCCTGAAGTGTGATCCTAATTAGTCTTATCAATAAAAACCAGGAGTCAGATATCAGGGTGAAAGCTGAAAGATCAAAGAAGCAAAGCAGCCACAGTGACTTCTTACCTCTCCGAATCCTCAGACGGATACGGTCCGAGGTCCTGTCTCCACCTCCTGAGTGCTGAGATTAAAGGTGTGAGCCTCCCAAGGGCTGGAATTAAAGGTGTGTTCCACCACTGTCTGGCTTCTATGGTTAACTAGTGGCTAACTCCACTCTCTGATGTCTAGGTAAGTTTTATTGTCAGAAACACAAACAAAATACCACACAATAACCCCAGTTCCCACCTTGGTTTTTGAGATCAGGTTTCTCACTGGTTTGGAAGTCACCACATAGGCTACGGTGGCTGGCCAGCAAGCCTCAGGGATCTGTCTGTCTCTGTTTCACCAGTATTGGGATTATAAACAGGACACCATGCCTTTTTTTTTCCCCCCTCGAGGCAGGGTTTCTCTGTAACAGTCCTGGCTGTCCTGGATCTTGCTCTGTAGACCAGACTAGCCTTGAACTCACAGAGATTTACCTTCCTCTGCCTCCCGAGTGCTGGCATTAAAGGCGTGCACCACCACCTCCTGGCCCATGACCATTTTTTTTAACCTGGCTTCTGGAGACTAAATTCAGGTCCTCATACTTGCACAGCCAGCAGTTGGCTAAATAAGATATCTCCTGGACCCACCTTCAGTGAGACAAGAAACCACTGTGTGGCCCAGACTGGCCTCAAACTCACAGCAATGCTCCTGCCTCAGCATGCTGGGATGACTGTTAAAGTCACACTTTGATACTAAGTGTACATGTTACATATTCTCCTGTATGTCCAAGTTATAGATAATGATAGGTTATATAAAATGTTTGTTATGTATGTATTTATTATTTAATATAAAGTTTATGGACATATTTACTATATATATTGTGTATAAAAGCCAGGAATGTCAACATGCACATTATGCCACTGTTTTTAAACATGGCACTAATTTTAAACACATAATATATAGGGACTGGAGAAATGGCTCTGCAGTTAAGAGCACTGGCTACTCTGGCAGAGGACTGGGTTCCATTCCCAGCCCCTACACGGTAAATCACATCTAACTCCCTCCTCTAACCTCCGTGGGCATTGTGTGTGCATGCTGCACATGGTCCACTAAAGCACACACAGAGGGAGAGCAGGAGAAGAGGAGGGAGGAGGAGGTGGGGTTGGCATGTAAAATGAAAAAAAATTAAATAAAAAAAATAAAGGGAAAAAATGAATTCAAAAATGGAAGAAAAAAAAGAGAGAGAAAACGCTGGAGCCACACAGCTTTAATCCCAGCACTCAGGAGGCAGATCTCTGTGAGTTTGAGGTCAGACTGATCTACATAGTGAATTCTGGGACAGTCAGGGCTATGTAGAGAGAACCCCATCTCTAAGAAGGAGGAGAAGGAGGAGGAGAGGAGGGGAGAGGAAGGGAAGGAAAGTAGGAGAGGGGATGGAAGGGAAGGGGAGGGGAGGGGAGGGGAGAGGAGGGGAGGGGAAGACAAGGGAAGACAAGGGAAGGCAAGGGAAGACAAGGGAAAGGGGCTGGGAAGATGGCTAAACAGTTAAGAGCATTCATTGTTCTTCCAAAGGACCCAGGTTCAGTTCCGGCCCGCATTGGGTGTTCCACCTGTAACTTCAGCTCTAGAGTATCCTATACCCCTGGCCTCCAAAGGCACCTACATTCATATGCACATACCCACAAAGCACACACACCCATACACATAATTTTTTAGAAATGAAAATATATTCTAGCCAGGTGGTGGTGCCTTTAATCCCAGCACTCGGGAGGCAGAGGCAGGTGGATCTCTGTGAGTTCATCGAGGCCAGCCTGGTCTACAGAGCTAGTCCAGGACAGGCTCCAAAGCTATACAGAGAAACTCTGTCTCGAAATACCAAAAAAAAGAAAGAAAGAAAGAAAGAAAGAAAGAAAGGAAGAAAGGAAGGAAGGAAGGAAGGAAGGAAGGAAGGAAGAAAGAAAGAAAGAAAGAAAGAAAGAAAGAAAGAAAGAAAGAAAGAAAGAAAGAAAGAAAGAAAGAAAGAAAGAAAGAAAGAAAGAAAAAATATATTCTAAAAAAGCAGGGCGGGGGCAGGAGGGAGGGAATGCAGATTCTGGAAGGTGCCTCAGGTTAAGAGCTCTTGCTGCTCTTCCTCCAGAGAACCCAAATTCAGTTCCAAGCACTTATATCAGAGAGCTCACAACTGCCTGTAACTCTAGCTCCAAGGGAGCCAATGCCTTCCTCTGGCCTCTGTGGGCACCCTCACTCAACTGCACATATACACATACACACAAATCACATTTTTAATCTTAATAATAATAATATATGCTAGTTCGTGGGCTGAAAAGGTGGTTCAGTGGTTAAGAACACTTGTCACACCACACAATCGTGAGGACCTAAGTTCAGATCCAGTTTAAAAGCTCAGCTTGCTGGATGTAGTAATGCATGACTTAAATCCCAGCACTTGGGCTGGAGAGATGGCTCAGCAGTTAAGAGCGCTGGCTGCTCTTCCAGAGGTCCTGAGTTCAATTCCCAGCACCCACATGGTGGCTCACAACCATCTGTGATGGTATCTGATTCCTTCTTTGGGTGTGCGTGAAAACAGAGCACTCATAGACATAAAATAAATAAATCTTTAAAAAATAAATAAATCTTTAAAAACCCAGCACTCAGGAGGCAGAGGTTGGCGAATCTCCGAGTTCAAGGACAGCTCCATCTACCAAGTGAGTTCCAGGGCAGCCACAGCTGCAGAGAGGGGCTCTTCCCCACCTAAAAAGGGGGGAAGGGCCCCCAAACTCCTCTAACACTCAGGCTGTGAGAGGCAGACACAAGAGGATCACCAGGGTTTGCTGACTACCAGCCCAGATCCAGGCTCAGTGAGAGACCCAGTCTCAATAATGTGGACAGTGATAGAGAAGGACAGCTGGTGTCCCCACGGGTGTGCACACATCTTTGCACACATGAGCATACACCACACACATGCACACAAAAAAGAGAGCCAGTATCAAGATCATGATGGGGAAACCTACAGAGACAACCAAACCAAACTAGTGGGAACTCACGAACTTTAGACCAACAGCTGTGGAGCCTGCGAGAGACTGGACTAGGCCCTCTGCATAAGCGAGACAGTGGTGTAGCCTGATCTGCTTAAGGGCCCCCCTGGCTGTAGGACCAGGATCCATCCCTGGTGCATGAGCTGACTTTTTGGAGCCCACTACCTTTGGTGGGACACCTCCAACAGCCTTGATGCAGGGGGAGGGGCTTGGACCTGCCTCTACAGAACATACCAGACTGCTGACTCCCCCTGGGAGGGCTGATCTTGTTGGAGGAGAGAATGGGGGGTGGGGAAGGCTGGAGAGGCAGGAGGAGGGGGGGGGTCTGTGGTTGGTGAGTAAAATGAATAAAAAAGTTCCTTAATAAAAAAATAAATTAAAAAATATTTCCCCTTCTATTGATAAATAAATAAATAAATAAACAAATAAATGAGGCCAGTGAGACGGCTTGGTGAGTAAAGGCACCGAGCCAGACAACCCGAGCTGATCTCCCAGTACCCACGTGGTAGAGCAGTGGTTCTCAACCTTCCTGACGCTTCGGCCCTTTAACACCGTTCCTCACGTTGTGGTGACCCCAGCCATCATGAACTGCAACTTTGCTACTCTTAGGAATCGTGATGTAAATATCCGATGTGCAAGAGAGCAGATATGCGACCCCTGTGGAAGGGTCTTTCCATACCCTCCCCAAAGGGGTCACGACCCACAGGTTGAGAACTGCTGTGTAGGGGAGACCTGACCTCTAGCCAGAACCGCCCTGCTAACACACTGCTGGACCCTCCTCCCTCTCTATCTTGATGTGGAGGCTTACCCA